TTGTTTGGCAAATTTATACTGTATTCACATGGGAAGAAATTGTAACCGTGATCATCAATTTCAGAGGAAGAAAACGGTAGATCTAGGCCCTGTTCCACACAAAAGAACCATGCACGTTGAGTCGGATGATTTCGCTCGCAAAGCATGCACAAATATCCGGAGAGAGTCTACTCCCAAAGTAGTCTGTAGCAGTTTGCCATATCAAATTAAAATCAGGAGGATAACCACCCGCCTGGGGGCAGTTGCTGTCACACATACACACACACACACACACACACACACACACATCTCGAGAGACGATTAGGAATAAATGCTTGATAACTTGGCGTGTGAACGATGCGTTTCTGTATAGACGAGTGAAAACTGGTAAATGCTACCGGACAATCAATCACAATGACCACTCCACTACTGTGACTTTTACCGAATGAAAAGTAAACCGGAGATCTGTGCATGTGGGGCTGGAGATTTTGACGTCTCGGCAATCCCCAAATTTCACACTANCATATCAAATTAAAATCAGGAGGATAACCACCCGCCTGGGGGCAGTTGCTGTCACACATACACACACACACACACACACACACACACACACACACACACACACACACCTCGTTCCCTGGCTTCACATCCACTCCGGATATATTGAGCCCATTCTACTTACATATTACATCCCATAACCCAATTGTGTGTGATTGATGATGATCAGCGAAGTTCATATTACTGAATTCAACTGAAACAACATCATGGACGGAAGGATCAACAAACTAGTTTGTAACGGTCTGAGTGAAATATTATCGATCACCACCTTATCGTTTCTCTCCCAATCTGACAGATGTATTAATTCCTTTCCCACAGACTAACTGTTATCGTGAACTACACAGCTACCTATCTATTTGTGTGTGTGTGTGTGTGTAACTGTAGTGATCACCGGTTGTCCTTGTGCTTGGTAGTCCCAATTTTCTTCTCCAAATCTCTGGCATCACAGAATTGTGTGGATGGGCAATCCGAGGATAAGGGGGAGGAGGGGTTGGGGTCGCAGAACTTCACACGCAAAATGTGTTCACTGGTTCAGTACCGAAGTGAACTTTCGCTTGCGATACAACAAAGCTCCACTTTCCAATTTTCAAGGCCGTTCAGTATGTGTGATCACCATACGGGCATATTCAGAAAGCCAAATCACCACTAAGTGTACGTGCATTACTTGGACAACTAATTGAAATAGTTGGAGAACAGAGTGAAAATCTCCAGAGTGACAACGAGGAGTGTTCAAATCAGTAGTAGTTTGTCATTCACATCGGAGAAACTCAAGCAACAAGGAACTGCACTCCATAAGGCATTTCTTTCTTCGCAGTTGAGATGTGGTGGTGATATCGTCCAGGGCTTACAAAATGCAATCGCATTTCCTACACTGATTTGTCTTTTGTAGGTTATCACGGGCAAATGCGGTTTCAGGCAACTCTCTTTTGTCACACTCGCTCCTAACTACGACCAAGCGTCTCAAATAGCCAATTCTGCAGAGGAAGCTTTATTCACTGCCATCTCGTGGCAGAGGTGTTCTAGCACCAAGGTGAGAGGACAAACAGCCGACATCCGAGGCTATAACCGGGTTCGTGAACCACTGACAGTTCACCTAAGGGAGTTGGCTAAAAACACTGATTCCAAAACAACCAACAAGAGATGTACGAACCACACACACACACACACACACACACACACACATATATATATATATATATATATATATACACCTCCTTGGTCGTGGTAGTGGTCACCGGCTAGATTGGGCATCAAGGTGTATCATCAAGAGTGCATTATTCGATGAACTGGACACCGGCCTCTAATGCCTCTAATGGTCAGTTTTGGTTGGCCGAAGGCTCCGTTTATGAATTCACCTGCTTTGGCCTAGGTAACCTGGCAGTATCAGGCCCACAAGCAAATCATGGAACCTTTTTCTTTTTATAGAAATTAATGGACCGGGATTTGTGTGGCACACAGTTTGGTTTCAGATATGTGCGAAATATAAAATAATAATAAACACTCGTTGGCCACCTCCGCATCACTGTTTTTTGTTATTGATGACATAGATAGTGTGCGATTCAACCTTTTGTGTGTACTTATCGCTAACCCAAATGGCTACGATGAGAGCTACATTTAATTAAACTAGTTCGGATTTTGCGCTCGTACATCCGTGCCCCTGATATCAAGCTTCCAGATGCTGTGGGGTGGCTTAAGTGAATCGTGATTCTATCAGCATGGTTGTCTACTTAGGAGACCGTTTAAACCTCGAGTATTGCAAACTGAGGTTAAAAAACAATGCAGAACAACCGCAGGGAGAAATATCACTTTTCGACCTGTAACCAATCGAAGTCACCGAACATGTCTTTCGGCATAGTATCACAATGAATGATCATGCCACATTTGGGTTGGAGGGCGGTGGGATGAAATGGGGAGAGAAACCGGATGTACGAAATATCTCCTCTTACCTTTCCATTTGTGTATGGTGATTCGATCGAAATCGGTCAACTGGAGCAGATTTTTCTCACCCGGAATTCGTCCATCTGTGCCATGCCAGCAAAGGTTCAACATTTGTACAAAGTCTGTCACCGTGAGCATGGCACAAATCGATTGAGTTGTTGAATTCCATACCGGAGCAGCTCGAATTCCGTTGTAGATCAGTGCTCGAAAAGCTTTGCTAATCTGTTGTGAACATAGGTGTGTGATCGTAGAATGAGAGAAAAACATCCCAAGGAGGAAGAGGTGTGGGGCGGGAGAAAGAGATCTCTATGAGATGAATGCTATGATCACTTTCGTTCAGGTGAATCAATGCAGAGGTACTCGGTCTAAACCAGAAGGCTTCCATGCTGTTTCCACTAAATGATGGTCGTTTTAATTGACAGACATATTCTTAAAAATTACAAATACACTAGATCTAATTAAGTTCATTCCCCTTATTATGTATGCAAATAAAGGCATGATAGATGTCAACACATTGTGGCCAATACTGTGCCTTCTGCAAGAGAGAGAAGGGAGGTTCGTGTGTGTGACGCAATTATAAGTATGTCTGGATAGATAAGAGCCTTGCCGCTGAAGTTGAACAAGTCAGGTTTCCTTGGTGTTGATCACGCAGCAATCAAGTAGATCCAAATGGGTAAAACCGTAGTGTTATAAAGCTCAGTCCCCCCGACAGTAGGTATATTTTACTTGGTGGATCTTTATTTACACCCCCAGTTGTCCCGCATTGTATATCTATCTACATTTGTTGGTAGCGCACATCCTGCTGTTCCGTAAACCTCCCTCTCTTTGCACTTTCTCTGGTGAAAAAAGTTGTAATCAAAATTGGCGCCCACAAATGTGAGGAAAATATACATATATATATATATATCATATTAAGTGGTATGTGAATAACTGGACAAAATTTCTTCAGAAGCACACGGCCGGTTTCGCGGTTCTTGCCGCTCGTCAGGCATGCGTATGCGGTAATCTTTTGTCAGTTCATTCATATACTTGAACATAGGACGTGTACTTTCGTCCCAGTAACCTTGTTTGCAACACCGGGTGAACATTGGATAGACAGTTCTTTCGAAGCCAGTCGATTGAAGAATCAACGCTATGATTCGATGTTTTTAATTGGGTTATATGCTGCTGATCGCAACAAAAGTGACTTGATAGTGCTTATAGAATATTTCACAATAAGTAGTATGTGAATGACTGGACAAAAGAAAGAGCTGTCTCGAAAAGCTGCCTATCCAAAAGTTGCCCGGTATTTCACACAAGGTTATTGTGGAGAATGTATATACATATTACACGGGCTTGTAGGCAAGCATGGTGCCAACGCCACAGCAATGATGAAAATAACAGTAACAGGAGGAGAATAGAAATTCAAACTAAACCGAACTTTTGGTAATCAATACATATGTACAATAGGTTAGGTTTTTTTAAGTGTCAGCATTCGATTGCAATGCATAATGGAACGATCTACGCACATGTGAGCAGGAGTTCGGCCTATTTCCTAAATTTAAAACAATAAAAAAGGCTCCAGGTCGTTCCGGAAAAGCAAGCACGCGTTCTATCGCATTGTTTATACAATCCGGCTCTGAGTAATTCATGCGCGTACATTTGAGGGGTGCGGGGGGTGAATTCAAAAAGCAGTGACCCCGAATCGCATGCGGTCTTCATTTGTGTGCGCTACCCACTCAAACCATAACACTCACGGTAAGTTGGCTGTCCAGAATGACCAGCTTCGCACTGTCCGGCATTAGATCGTAGCATTCTGTGTGACGGAATAGGAGAGAGTAGGTTTCTGACTCGGCTACAATAGACAGAGAGGGAGAGAGAGAGAGAGAGAGAGGAAAGTGGGAGTGTGCTGAACGAATGTAGGCCTGCTTCGTGTGGTTAAACCACGTTCGGGAAATCTGCATTAAATTTGTAGGATGAAACACACAGGATGCATAGAATTGAGGTGTTTCGGTGTGTACCTTCCAGTGCTGATACATATTTTCTTATCAGAAAAAACAGTATTTCTTAAGAAAATTATTAAGTACAAAGAGAAGGGAAAGCATCGCTGGATATAATTGAGTGTTTCGACACAAATATCGCACTAGCAACACTAGGTATAGTTACACGAGATCCATGGATGGAATGGATCTCACTGTAAAACTTGGGCGTCGTGTTCGTGATTATTGAGGAAATTAGCTTGTTGTGGCTAAGACAAGCTAATTTCCTCAATCAGGTATAGTTGTTTCGACAGGCCCTTCGGAACCAGTCCAAATAATGCTATGATTCGATGATCTGGCTGGTATGTTGGATGCTACTAACCGCCCCAAACGCGACTTAAGCGTCGTTTAATTATATTTTACAGAAAGTCGGATAAGAATGTTTTGACAAAACTCCCCTGGAAGCCCACAATCGGTTTTACGGTTCTTGACGGTCGTCAAGCATGCATATCCGGTAACATGTTGTCAGTTCGTTCATATATTTGTACCCAGAAAGTGTACTTTCGACAAAAAAAATTCTGGATGCAAGTAATGAGCTTCCAGGGAAATTTTGGCAAGTCATTCAGATACTACTTAATGTATAAATGAAAGTGTTGTTTTCCTGGAGGTCACACGTTAGAAACAGGATTTAGTAAAAAGGTGCTTTAACACAACACAACACAACATAAGGGGCTCCGCCGATGTTCCAACCGGAGCTGTGTAAAAAAAGGAATTTAAACAGACCCATGTGCGTATCGATCGATTGCCTTTTGCAAAGATGAAGCACAGATCCCCACTGGATCGATTTGTATTCCAGCAAGTGTGTGTGTGTGTACACTAACTTATCAGAAAGGACAATGTAGTGTTGTTTTACAACGATGGAATGGAATCGTCCGAATGATAAAAAGCATGGATTACAAGAATGTCATGTGAAACTTACCCATTCCTGCACCATGTGCTGCCAGATACTGTTTCGCGGACTGAATGTGTATGCGGGGAATACAGGGAGAATGGAAAAAAGGAATTAGTGAGAGGGAGGATTTTGTTCAAAGGGACTGTTTACAATTCGGCGGTAACAAATTCATAGTTTAACGAATAGAATAAATAAACCTTATTATGATTTTCCGATGGTTTTGAGTATTCAATTGTGTGTTCATTCAGAAAATTAATTGTTTAAACAGTTCCACAGAACACGTGCTGAGAACACAGATGGGCAAACAAGCTCGTTTTCAGTGTGCCTTAATCATGCCACTACAACACAATATATATCGTAACAGATAAGGATTCACGAGGGAAAAATGGAAAGTAATTAAAGTATTCAACAGTTTGTATCATAATTGGTCCCCAATTATCCTTCACACGGATGTTTCATGACGGGTCGTAACTTGTCAGCAATCCGGTCATGGGAGGAGTTAGGGTGGTTGCACAAATTGCTTTTGAGCACACACACACAGGGGGCGGGGTGTGTGTGTGTGTGTAGATTGATACTAACTGCCTGCACTGTGACTATAGAATGCGAAACAGCACATGTCTACAGACCGTCCCGTTTTAACTCTACACAAGGATCGAAACGCTTCGATCACGTTTACGATGTGGTTACTGTCGACAAGGTGCAAGCACTCAAGCTCCGATCGCCGGATTGTCGGCAAGTGACGACCCGTCATGAAACATCTCAGTTAATGATAATTGGGCACCAACTATGATGCGAACTGTTGATTACTTTGATTACCTTCCCTTATCCATCGTAAATCATTATATGTTACCATAGTGATATATATTGTGTTGTAATCAGTTTCAGTTCAGTTTGTACAACCATGAACCATGCACTTTCGTGCGCCGGTTTTTGTTGCCGTCTTTTGGTGTCCCATTNNNNCCATTTGGATAAAAGAGCAGAATGAAGATTGGAATGTTGAAAGCAAATTCAAGCGGAAGATGGAGAATTCATGCAGAGTGGTGTCAAGAGAATAGTGAGTGAATGCACGAGCGCCACTGTTTGCGATACCCAGCCATATCATTCAGTGTCTCTAACCATCAGTGAATATCATCTCGGGGTCCACAACCAGGGAGTCTAACGGGGCCTATGTGACCTAGCCTCCTGGTTAGGGTTTTCATACCCTCATGCCAGGTTTTCGTTTGACCACCCTTGACCTTTTTCCAACCGCCACTTGCCTCGGCAAACATCGCTTGCCATGGTAAACTATTGTGCTGTAATAGCATGATTAGGAATAAATAGCATCAGAGCCAGTGAAGCGTGAACTGAGAAGCTAGTAATCACTGTCCCGACCTGGCTGGGTCTCATCAGTAGTGCGAATCTATCGACCCAAATGAGGATCGAACCAGGAATCTCAGGGTAGAACACAGATATCCCACCCAGTTCATCATAGAGCAGCTGATCAAACTGTTTCTCATTTAGCCTATATGTGGTCTATGTCCCGGGTTCTTCCTAACTGCTGGCATCCTAACACTCTAAATAGTAATAATAGTAAATAGTAATAGTAAATAGTAATAATAGTAATAAACCAGTAACAATCCAAGGATAACCTATTATCTAAAAGATACCAATATGGTCTTTCATTATGATGCTATCATTATATAATAGACCGGTAAGATTCTTTGCATTTTCAATGTGCTTTTGAGAATCCACCGGGTGGACCAACATATTGATTTCCCATCCATGCAAAAAATATGATAATTCATAAATTACGGATTCTCACTGACGATCATTTTCAACGTGTATAAACCTCATGAGGCGTATTTTGAAATCACAATCCTTCCGTGAACTGTGCTTATACACTACTTACCCAAAACGGTAGCGACCGCGTAAACATCAAGTAGCGCCGACTCTCTGTCACACGAGTCATTGTATGTGTTGCACGAATACCATGGTGATCATGGTGTGTGAAATGTCCTCGATTACGATGATGTCCATGATTCCCATGTCTGTGATGATGGTGGTGGTGATGGTGATGGTTTTGAGGTTGTTGTTGTTGTTGCTGTTGTTGCTTGTGGTGTACTTGTTGTGCGAACTGCTGCAGCTGGGCTGATATCTGCTGGGCACCAGGCTTCACGGTCGTGCCGATCACATCTGATCCGACTGCTCCTGCACTCGGTCGGGACGCAGTGTTGCCACTCAGCAGAAGCGCTCCGGCTTGAGCACCAGACATTAACGTCTCGTCAGATCGAGAGAGATGTTCCAAAAGAAACGGTCGAGTTTGAGGTGAGGCTGTTCCAGTCAGGCTCCGTCGATCTCCTCCCACTCCGGGGCCTCCACTGAGGCTTCCAGCTGTGTGTTGGAGTTCGAGACAGGAATGAAGTAAGCTGGTTTGGAAAACGTATATATCAGCTCAGTGAAATAGTGAGACCTATGAATGTTTTTCAAAATTGTAAACGCATTTCCTTCAAGTAAGTAGAATGGATTCCTGCACATTTCTTATAGATGCATAGAAGAACATGGACCAAAGGAAGGCCTCGTAAACAAAGGCCACTAGGTATCCAACTAATCACTCACTCACTTAGATGCAAATCATTTCATATAGGCTCATTGATACAGACGACATTTGCGGGGAAGAGAAATGTCGACCAAAGTTCAGATTTACAAGATTTTCAGTAGTGGAACTGGCTGGTCGAGCCAAATATCTAAATGCACAAGCTATCTATGGTTGAACCTTGTCAACAGACATTTGATTGATTACAGCTAATCTTGAAACACAGTAGGGATGAACGCACGCACGCACACACACACGGGTCGAGGGACAATCGGGAGGAGAAACTTGGTGATGTGATAATTTGTGATCGGCTATTTTTCTGTCATTTTCACTGCCTTTTATTGAATACATACATAATTGTATAATTTTCAGGAAGGGTAAAGCGGCCAAACAAAGGGCTGCCAAATTACACGTTTCCAGACACGATTGGTCGACCGAACACTGCAAGATCATTAGTAGTTGATAAATTGCAAGGGATGGATTGCGGTGTAAATTTTGAG